TTCTTTGTGAAATTTTATTTTATTTTTTATTATATATATATATTTTTTATCACGATCCATATAGTACATGAGCGAGGTGAAGAGATAAATGTTTCTGAACACCCCCCCCCCCCGATTGCTTTTGACCCTTGGTCGAAACTGACTATTTAAAGTTAATTTGACATAAGGTTAAAAGTTTTAAATCGAAATAACTGCCATGGTAAAAAACAAACAGATACTCAAATTATAGAGGGCGTTTATCTCGGCTATTGGACTAGTGTGGTAAAGCCAAAATTTTAAAAAGGTAAAATGTAATCAGTTATGATGGGATTAATATAAGGCAAGAAATAATGTTTTACGTCTAGATAAACTTATAAAGACTCTGATAAAGTATTTGTGTGGGTTATTTTAAATTGTATTTTGTTTTTATTTAAAAACTTAAATTGAAAAATGAATAATATTGTACTAATAGTAATTGCATTAATAGCTAATACTACTACTAGCAGTTACAGTATATACTATTACGACTAATAATATGAGGCCTAACTCAATTGTAATGTTAGTGATACTGATAGCTTTTCATTAATTTAGGCTTGTCAAAACCTAAATAGTCGAAATAGTTTTATATACTTTCAGTGTTTGTACTACCACTGGAACCTTTACCTTAGCCTTGGGACTTTTGCTTTTATTAAGGATTTGCACAAAGTTTTAAAACATTGGTAGTTTGTTAAAAATTACAGTATAATAATGATTATACCAGTCAATGTTTATACATGTAAAGACAGGAGGTTTGGTTAAGGCTGTGGCACAAGATGATAGCTCTATTGCAAAGAGGTTAGTAACTGTATGACAAACATTTTCAGCTAAGGAAGATGTTAATGTTATTTAGACTATTCTAATATATAGTTAGTTTACACTTGTAATATCAGTTGTTCATTAGTTAGATTTGTTCACTGTATTGTAAGTAGATCAATCTTGTAGTATCAGCTGTTGTTTAGATCTGTTAACTAAGTTGTAGCTAGGTAAAGTTTCTAATATCAGTTGGTTTTTAGTTAGATTCATGGTCAGTTATTGTTAAACTAGATCTATAATACTGTTTCCATTATAAATTAGTTTGTGAATTAAACAAGGAATCTCAAGTAAAATATTTACATCATTTCTTTATTAGTTTTTAGTCTATCAACCATGAGCACACAGCGAGGAAATGTCAACAGGACACGCAGTCAAAAACATCAGAACAGCAAGTCTTTTAAAAATAATGTTCATGACAACAGTAAGACTATCAAGACCATCAACAACAAAGAACTAACGTCCGTCTGTGCACGATGTAGAGATGTGATAGCCTGGAAAATAAAATACAAGAAATACAAACCCCTAACAGTACCACGTAGATGGTGAGAAAACAATTATGTGTAATCTTGAATACCAGTACCTATTAAAAATTGTTTGTAGCATAAATTCTGTGTATGAAGTTTTCAGATGTTTCTATGAAACAAACTAATGTTTAAATATTACATGATAAATTAGGTTAACTAAGTATAGAAACAAACTAATGTTTAATGATTACATGATAAATTAGGTTAACTAAGTGATACTTAGTTAACCTAATTTATCATGTAATATTTAAACATTAATTTGTTTCTATACTTAGTTAACCTAATTTATCATGTAATATTTAAACATTAGTTTGTTTCTATACTTAGTTAACCTAATTTATCATGTAATATTTAAACATTAGTTTGTTTCTATACTTACTTAACCTAATTTATCATGTAATCATTAAATATTAGTTTGTTTCTAT